AGGCTGGCTGGAAGCAGGGATCTGGGATTTATTTATCTTCTATAATTGAAATTTTGTTGCCTTGAGCGGAGGCTACAGCCAGCCAGGGCAGGCGGGAAGCTTGGCTTCCTCCATCACCGGGGCAACCAAGCCTCCTGCTTGCTCCAGCTCCGTGGCTGTCAGCCACCATCTTGGTTGGGTTAATTTGCATATAGTCACTCTGATTGTATGGTGGACATGGCTTGGGGCATAGTGAAGGTATGGTCACTTTGCATATTTCTCTTTTATTAGATTAGATTTGATGATTTGAATCTGATTATTTACCCTTTAAAGGTTTTTAAAAGATACTATTTCTGCAATTTCTCTTTATAATATACAGAGAAAGCAACTAGTGAGATGAATACTGCTGAAGATTGGGGTCTCATTTTGGATATTTGTGATAAAGTCGGTCAGTCGCGCACTGGGTAAGTGTTGCAAAATTTCAAAGAACTTTATTCATTTGTCCTTTTTATTAATATGAATACAACAAAGATAAGGTGGAACATACTACAATTATAATTTATTTTAAAAGAGAATGTTTTTCCTAGAAGGATTTGAAGAATCATCCTATTTGGTTACTTCTTATAACCAGTTAGAGTAACATGACTGGTAAAAATGTTGCCACTTTAATCACTCTTTTCCTCCTGAAATCTAGTTTTTTTCCACTTGATTTTTCAAGTCATTAGGGATTTTTTAGTTACAAAGTTTGATGGTCATTTCTGAGTTCTGTTCTTTGTCACATCTGCAACATACTACCACCCAACTGATGAGTGACTACTGAAAGAGGCACTTTAGGGAATTAGAACCTGAAACTTTTTGGTATATGGGCTTTTGGGAAACACCCAGCTTTCTAAGCAGTTCAGTGAGTAGATTAACTGGTATATATATATTAGTGATTTCCTTAATTCCTGGGCTAATAATATCCAGATATTAGCAGCCTTACCCAAACATGTTGTCTTATTTATGTACTTTCATATGAAAAATGTTAGGGAACACTATTGCATTATATTTGATTCTTCTGGTGGTGATCTTAACCTCTGATATACCTTCTTTTGGCTGTTGTTCTTTCCCTTCTAAATATAGATAGTTTCCTAAACATTTTTTGATTTATTTTTTCCCTTAGTGTCATTTTCTAATATTTTTTTTCTTTTGAAATCTGACAACTTCCAGGTAACATGTATTTTCAGCTCTAATTTTGTATCCAATCACTAGTTCTGTAGACACAGCATTATCTAAAAGGCTAAGTGACCAACTGTCTGTCCGACCAACCAGCCGGCACATGTGATGTGCACTGGCAATTTAAAAATAAACGTTGACTTGCACATGTGTGATAGATATAAAGCTCTCGCTGACACCAATCACACACGATGCCAGGAAGTATCTGAAGACCAACTATTGGCACAACATGCCTCTGAAGCTGAAATTAATTTTCTTTCAATTGCATGAATCCATGCACTGGGTCACTAGTTTTTGGATAGTCATGCTGTATAAACCTTAATCTTGCCATCTGTAAATCTGCCTTGTGTCTCTTTTATCTTTAAACTTACTTTCCCTCGTTTGTTCCCTATTTCCGTTAATGAAAAAATTATTCTTGTATTTGTACTTAAAACCTTAGTTCCTGCCACATTTATTTTGTTACCCAACTCTGTAAATTGCCCCCATAATATCTCTCAGAATGTTGGTAAAATATATGGGTTCGTGTCATTTGGTATGTTTGCGTTGTTGTGCAATCATCACTGCCACCCAGCCCTAGAGTTTTTTATCATCCCCAACTGATCTCTGTGCCTGTTAAACAACTTTCCATTCTCCCTTCCTCCAGCATCTGAAAACCACTTATAGTTTGTTTTTAATCTTTTAAATCATTTTATAGTTAATGTATATGAAAAACTTACGGAGATCTATCTGGTTAATGTTACTAGGAACCTAATGTACTCATAAAATGTCTCCCCCAAAATGTATATACATTTGAACAGCTGATAACTCACTTAATTGTCACTCCTTTTCAGGAAATAATGGGTGGAGCCAGACTAAGCTTTGAACAAGGAAAATTTATCCTAAAGTGCCACTAGATTTTTTAAAAATGGATATACACAAAAGATAAAATTTACGGTACAAAACTGGCAACAGTTGACAGATTGAAGGCACACATACCCAATGAAATTATCGATGTTTGCAGTTCCATTACTTTGCGTTATCAGCAGTGCTTGGGCCAGAATGGTTATCAGTTTAAAAACAGGCATTGACAAAAAAAATTGTTCATTTCTGTAGATTCTTTTAAATTTTGAAAATGAACTGTATGTTAATAAACACTGAGTTTATAGTAATTCAAAGCGCATATACATTTTTTGGTGGGGACACCCTGTATGTTTAGATATGGGTTGCTGATGGTAGCATAACATTATTGAACAATATTGTAGGTTGTCAGTGAGTTATTCTAGATACCTGGTGTGCTTTAAAGAAGATTAAGACATGTAATTGGTGTGAGAGAGGAAAGGAACATCAGCTGTCCTGCGACAAATTTAGACAGGGTAGGTTAATGTAGAGGGAAGTTATAGATTGCAATGCAATTAATAAGTTTATTTTTTTAGGCAATAGTTTAGATTTTTTTTAAAAAAGTATTACCATTTGGGGTTAATCTATAATTTTATAAAATGTACTAGAGGCCTGTTGCACGAAGAGATTCGTGCAATAGGCCTTCCTTTCCCCTGGCAGCTGGCACCAGTTTGCCTCTGGCACCTGGGGCCCAGGTCTTCGCTTTGGCCGAGTTCTGGCCGGAGCCAGCCCCAGAAACGTCAGGCTTAGGTGCTCTGCTGGCCCCAGGGCCGTGAGGGCTCGCTGCTCCACCACCCCTGGGCTGTCAGGCTTCGCTCCACTGCTTGAAGCCTCCGTATGCAAATTGACCACCATCTTTGTTGCTGGTTAATTTGCATATCGTGCTGATTAGCCAATGGGAGGCATAGCAAAGGTACGGTCAATTACCATGTTTCTTATTATGTATAGATCTATTTAAGAGGGCTGATTTAGGGATGATAAAGGGGACTTTTGGAAAAACATTTATTCAGTAAGATTTTTAAAAATAAAAATGATTTGTATCAAGCAACATATTAAGAATTATTTAATGCATAAATACAATGATTTAAGTCTTTCTTTCCTAAGGAAATAATTTTTAAAAAATCCTTTGGCCTCCCCCTCTTCCCCTCCTCCCATCCTCCCCTCCTCCCCTCTTGCCCGCCCCTGTCCACTCTTTTCTTTTTGTTACAGTAACCTGTTTTGGAGTTCTGGTAGTTTGGAAAATGTTCACTGGTGTTTTGAAAATCTTTTCTTAATTCTTCCTCTCTCAAAAAAAATCTTGCTGTTCTGTTCTTTAAATCACACACACTGTGTGTATTAGTTGATTTACAAATTTATAGTATTTTTATATAATAAAAATGCACTTTTTTTCTTTTAAAATAGAAACATATTCACATGGCTCAAAAATTAAAACAACTTAAAAGATGAACATTGACAAACTCCTATCCTCCCCCCGCCCCAATCCTCTAGGTAACCACTTTTGTTTCTTTTATATCATTTCATTGTTTCTTTACACAGGTGAATATATTTCCCCCATTTGTAGACAGTCGACATATTGTATACACTATTCTACATTTGCAATTTCTTAATATATCCTATCAGTCTTAAAAATGTATTTCCTCTAATGTCTATTAGTGTTACATTGGTTGTAAAAATTGAAAAATTTAGAAATAATTTTCTAGTTTAAGATTAGTTTTGATTAGTGGCATGTAGAATATTTAACATACTTTAATAATTATTAGTTAAAATTATTATTTTAAATATATCAATTTCAGGAAACCTAATAGATGTAATTCCTGTTTGCCTCATATAGATAATAAGGTTTTTTAAAAGCTTGACATATTTGAATATGCTGGACTTAAAACCTTAGAAACATTCAGAAAATTTTTTTCTAACTTCCTGAGATATTCACATGATTTTTAGTGTACAGTTCCAATGTATGAGTAAGTACTGGAAAACGCCTAGCCAGTGAGGTCATATGATGGACTGAACAGTCTCTGTTTAGAATCAAGAGAACTTTCAGAATGATAGTAGCAGTTTTCTTTAACATGTTTTCACATACTAAAAATAACTTTGTCTGTTAGTTTTGATTGATTTGTTTATATTATATGTAAAAAATGTGAGCATAAGTATAGGTTAAACATACCAGAATTAAAATTAAAGTTCTGTAATTGACTGCCAGATTAATTTGTGCTACTATTTTATATCTTAACTCTCTTTGTTTAAAGATACAGTTGACTGAAGGTGGAAAATGTACCTTTTCTTTTTAACTTGACTAAGAGCTCAATTTAGGTTGTAAGTTTTGATTTAGTCAAACAGAATTAGAAGGATAAACTAGTAGTCATTACTAATATTTTGTGAAAAGTCTTTTGGAAGGAGTTTGTTAAAAATGTTTTTCATTGGATCTCTAATGTCCTGTCCTGGACCTGGGCTATGACTTTTTCTGACCTTCAACTGGAGGTTGATAGAATACTATATTCCTGGTTTTTTAAGGGAAAATTAAAGTCTTCAAGTTGGAAGGGCTGCATCAGGGAGAGAAAAAGTTCTGTTGCAGTATATATTTTATTACAATCATATCCCCAATTTCCAGGCCTTGATTTTCAAAGTCTTTTAAATGCCTTTTTAAGACTAATACTCAACATTTATTGACTTATTATTTGCCAAGTCTTGCTTAAGTTGTATGAAAAAAGGCATGCAGGTTATAATTATTACAACTGCTTTATTAACTTTGTTTTGCCTACTCACCACTGTAAATCTATGTTTGCTCACCACTGTATATTCTTGAATAGTAAGTTGTAGTAAAGCACTTTTTATAGCATATCAAATGAAAATGTAAAACTTAATTCACTCTGAAATAGCTTTGGAAGCTAAAGTTGTAAAAGTAACTTGATAGAAGAAGATACGTTTGTGCTTTCTAGAACTAACATTGTTGAGTGTGTCTCTAAGTCCCTGGCACCAGTCTAGTATTGTAATAACATAATGATAAGAAAGCATTATAATTCCCTATTATAGATGAGGTCTGTCAAGTTACAACTCTTTTTCTACTGTATCACAGTGCTGCTTTTGTCTGGCAGTGGTTCTCAGCCTGGTGGTATTGCTCTACTAGGGATGGCTTTGGTTGTCACACTGACATGGGGTTACTACTGACATTGATTAGGGGGGGACCAGAGGCATTATATGCCAGATCATCTTACTCTACAAATAATTTTTCTGCCCCGAATACCAGGTGTGCATCTGTTTAGAAACATATTACTAATATTTTTGTGCTTTTAAGTTCTATTTCATAGTTGATTAATACTATGTGAGCACATTCATTAACTGATATAGATATAAGTGGGTAAACATTTATAAGTAA